TAACTTGTGCCATTTGAAGGGCTGAAGTAGTAGGTGACCTTGTAAAGGATAAAACTTCTGCCACAGGGTTGGTGTTGGGTTTGTTTCTGGACCACAGCGCACTCGGACTGGACTGTTCTCCAGTATGTCGCTTCTGTTCCTCCCAACCTTTCTCAGACAAACTTTGGGCAATTATTTTTTCACAAAATGATGCTTGTTCAAGCCTGCTTTTATTTGCACACTACATCTCATCTCCTTTTTCTCTCTCCTCTCCTCTTCAATCTGCAAAGTGGCTATGGGAAGGATTAATAAAAAGGCATGACAGCAGGCCCTTAGAGAGCTGGTGACACCCAGCTCATTTTTGCTGACCTGTGAGGCACAGGAAAATGCCGTGGCCAGCATCAGGCAAAGACTGAGGCAGTTACCTGGTGCTTCATCTGCATAGCAAAATCAATGCTGATGCACTGATGGAAGCAGTAGGATTATGTTATAAAGGGTTTACTTGTCCTGCTGCTAAGAAATATTTGTCCTCTGTGAAAAATCTGTGTGCCTGGCCAGCTGCTGCTTGGAGATCAGGATGAGACTACTGCACCTTTTTGGCCCTGACCAAAATGTTCTGGTTTATTGCACTTGGCAGAACAGTTTTTATTCCAAATGGGACACCTGTCAGCTACAGCACTGCACATCATATTACTCATTCAGCAGCAGCAACTCTCACAATGATTTCTTCAATACCTGGATGAAGTTGACTGTAGTTCTCCCAACTGTGACTTCAGTCAGCATGGTATTTTCTAGACCTGATTGCTACAATGCTCTCCATTTTGCTGCAGATCAGCGAATTGGTTGGTTGTGTGAGTAAAACATTCTCTCCTTGAACGTAAAGGAGCACAGAGGCACAGTGGCAGGGGGGGGAACACCAATAACAGCATCAGGGAACTGAAGTCCCCTAACCCAGCTGCTCTCAGGGAGCTCTTAATTTCAAAAGCTTTCAAGCCAGGTAGTACAACAGAAATGATAAAGAACTTTAATGTGAGAAAAATGCATTCTCATTTTCTATAAGACAACTCACTGTCCATTTTTCAACAAGTATGTGCAGAAGGACTGAGATTATGTTTTTTTCAAGTTCTCATGCCAAGCATCTATGCCCTTTGCTATGGAGAAATTCAGCATGTAAGGACACATTTACCACATCGCTTAACAGCTAAGCTGAAAATCCATGTGTAATTGCTATTCTTCCTCCTACTGTAGGTTATTACAAGTTCTGCGTATTGAAAAGAAAGCTGGAAGTACTCTAATAAGAACATCTATATTTATTTCTGTGATCAAGCATTTATAGTCTGAAAGTACTAAAGATGAGGAACTTTTATCCTATTAGGGTAATGATCCATTTCTTTGTAAGGTTTGGTATCTTCTCCCTAGTTGGATAGCTTAATTGACAAATTAAGCAGAAGTACATGGCCAATAGAGAAATGGAGAGTGGTGAGGAGAAAGTGACTTTTCTTAGATACTTAGGGACTTCCAGACAGGATATATAAAAGGGGTGGCTTTCAACTTATTTAATGTTTGGCCCAAATTGATCTTTCATCCAACATACATCTGAGAAATGCATTAAAGTTATTTTTACACTGCTTGTTGGAGTTTCATATTCTGCCCTTTTTCAGCAGCAAAGCAAATGTCAGCGCTCTGAAGCTCTGGAAGCTCATGCTGAATGTCAGAAACACTGAGAGCTGTAACTTAGAAGCCTTGAACTTTTAGACCATAGGAGCCTTAATACCTGGCAACTGCACACTGAGTTATAACTTGGAAAATCCTCAGAAAAGGATAAATTGGGATTCCTTGTAATGCAAGTAGTGAAGAAGTATGTCCAAAAGTGACATATAAAGCCCCAGGGCAAATAAAGCCATCCACATGAAGTCATTGCCAGCTGCTTCACAGAGAGATGCTCATACCTGCTGTAATGGAAGTCACAGGTCTAGCAATTTGAAATGACAGCCATGGGAGATGGGAAAAGAAATTTTAAAAAAGTTTTTTTAAACACCATCTGGCAACTACTGAAAGGAAAGCCACAGCTAATGAGGAACCCAGTGATATACTGACTTTATTAACTAAGCTATACATGGCATGCAAGGGGTTAGCTAGAACTAGTAGATTAAAACCAGGGTGAGTCATCATTTACTTTTGTCCACAAACACAGTAGTTCATCACTGCACACTGCAACAGAGCAAACATTTGCTTTTTCATGAAAGCGATGATCAATCAGATCTGAAATATCAAACAAATTCCTACTTTGACTCAATGTATAAAATTGTGTTTATCAGAGGGAGATGGGATTCCCCTATTTAGATACAAAATACATCTTATACATCTTACCTACATATGTGCCAAAGGTCCAGAGCAAGTTGATCAGGCTTTGAAGTCAGCCCTGCTTGGAGCAGGAAGTTGGATTAGGTGACGTCCAGAGGTCTTTTCCAACCTAAAGCTTTCTGCAGCTCCTGTCTTGTGGACATCACATAGGCCCTTACCCCACTCCCACCAATTGTAATGCCAACTGTCTACTGAATTCTACAGTGCACACTCAAACTCTCACAGTTCAGTTAACACTCAGCCAGGCAGACTGGCTTTGGCTTCTGACTTCATCATGCCCCAAATTCCTGCCTCCTGCATCACCTCGGGATTGTGGTGGGAGGAAGAATTAAGGTTCTAGGCATCAGCAGGTATCAGAATTCAAATAACAAGGAGACACAGTACTGACTGTGGAGTTCACTGAAGTGACATGTTGGAAAGATTAACAGAAGCCATGGTTCTGCAGGGAATGTCACAATGTCACAGTCCTAGAGAAAAACTGAAGATATGCTTTTCCTATGGCTAATATGAACTTCTCACTGCGCAAATAGAGCAGAAGAAAAGCAGTAATTTTGCCACATACTACAAAGGCTCCTGAAATTTAATCAAATAAAATGAAAAATCAACCTCAAATAGCATTACTATTTATTACTCAAATAGTAATAAAATACTTTTAAAAAATACTTCAGTGTTCTTTGGTATAGTCCTTTTGCATGTGCTTCCTGGTTGCTCATGCATGATAAATTGAAAAGCTGATACTGGCTCCTTTTGGATTCCACCAAGGGAAACTTCCAAAGGTGGGCAGGCAGAACTGTCATTTTAAGTTGTCTCAGAGTCAATTTACAGAAGCAATATGAGCCTCTGACTGTGTCACATATAAAACATTAAAACCATACTTATGTGTACACAGAACTGCCCTGGTTTATCTTGAAAATGTGTATATATCTATGCTGCCAGAAGATTATTATATACACTGTTAACGCAGACTAAAACTGTGTACTGGACTATAAATGCCATAGCACGGGAAAGGTGTACACAGAAGGAGGAGATAACTGCGTGATACAGTATTACCTCTTTTCTCTCCTTAGGCCACTCTGAGACACTTTTTAGAGTCCAGTGTGTGATGAAAGCAGCATGTAAATTCCACAGGGATAAATAGCTGCTGCTCTTTTTAATTTCCACTACAGATACCACGCTGCAAGGTCGTCTGGTCCCTCACGCCAGTGTTTGGCCTTTGGTTTATAATTGTGAACTTTTAGGAGACACAAAATCCTCATACACATTGCCTGCTTAACAGACATTTGACAAGGAATGGCTAACAATCTTTCTCTTCTTTCATTAAGAGCATTCAACCTGCAGTAGTTGTGACATTTTGCCCCTTAAACAAACACTGATTATAAAAAATAAAAGTAAAGCTTGCCAATTCTCCTTTAAGCCCATGTTCTTACATGAGATAATAGCTGTCCTTTTGCTGGATCCAGTTTCAGTCTGCTACTCTACAAATGGCAGTTTGGGGCAATTCTCTCACAGCTCTTCTTTAGTGTGGAACCCAACTCCAGCCAGCAGTCAGTGCACACCCTCCCAGTATGGGCACTAACAAGGTTTGTCATGGCAGAACCAAAACACCTCCAAGCTGAGGAAATCAGTGATCCTGCTGGTCTTGATATGCCACTATTGGCATGGCAAGGAACAGGCAAATGAAGACTCTGCAACCTGGTAACTGAAAGAAAGTCCCAACTTTTGTGGCAATGGTGGTACATTCAACAGGACACACCTTTAGATGAAAGTCACATAGCAAGATTGGAGCTCTCTCTATTAATTTTAGACAGTATGTCTTAAAGGCTATGGTTTTGATATTCCTCTTCTACTAAGCTGTGAAAAGCTCTGTTGGCTTCAATACAGAGCACAGCAAATGTGAGAGCAGAATCAGAACCTCTGTGAAAAGAACTACACAAGCTGAGGTTACAGACACCTTTAACAAGTCTTTCAATTTCAAGTGCTGATGTATTAAGACTCCACCTTCACTGTTCTCTCAGAACTCCTGAAAACTAATACATTTCTCAGAATTTCTTCCTCCCAATAACTGTCCACAATCTAAAGGAAAGGGATGAACAACATAATATTTGGAATATTTTTTTTTTAAATCTAATAGGAATCTTTGTGCCCAGACTGAAATCTGCATTTATCTGTCGAGTTATCATTCATGTTTGGTTTTGCAGTTCTCTTTTTTCACCTCTACCCAAAATGTAAGCATGACAAAAAAAAGTCACCAGATGCTTGGAAATACTCTTGAAAATGTAATCTTTTGGAGTCTTGCAGAGAAAATTCCTATTCACTAAGATGAATTAATGTAATTCATACTGAATTCTTACCTTATACAGATCATGCAGGTGCACACCAAATAATAATAATAATAATAATAATAATAATAATAATAATAATAATAATAATAAACAATGCCATGATTAGGAAGGCAAGTGAGAAATTATTGGAGGGTCAGAATCTGCAAACAGGTGTGTGGTTACTAAAATATACAATGCTAAGTATGATTTTTACTAATAGTAACTACACTAGCAATAGGACTAGTAGTAATTTCAATGTAAGTAAAAATTATTCTTATCTTTTTGTAAGGTAATTCTTATGAGCAGAAAAAAGCTAAGGGCAAATTTGTATTTTACCTGCCGAGGGGTCCTCTCTGATTTGCTCCTGCACCATTCCCAATCTGTGAGTTCGGGTTTATGGCTTTCCTCATGAGACAACCTCCTTTCTGATCCTTCGGAAAAAGTCGACTTATCAAAATTTCTGACCTCTTCTCTTTTAAAGGTTCCCGGTTTGTCAGGAAGGAGGCGGTCGGGGCTCCCCTCCTTGCCCGGGCCTGGCCGGGCCGCGGGCGCTGCCGGGGCCTCCCGGGAGCTGTCCGCCAGCGCCGTGGTGCTGAACCCCGCGTTCCCGGCACGGGGGGCTTCGTCGGGCCCCCTCCCAGCTTCTTTCGAGTTACCACAGTCGTAGCTCACCAAGTTATGATAGGACGTGGATTTACCATCCCTGTCGTGGTGGTGGTGGTGGTTTTCATGGGATATTTTGTAGATTCCATAACCTTGCTGGAACGACAGGTTGAATTCAAAACCCCTACGTTTGGCTAAACAGAAAGGGAAGAAATGTCATATTAAAGAGAGTCAAAACCAAGAATAAAAATGACATTACATACACAATGAAAATGACATGCTAAAACACAGAATAAGTTATTTAACTACTGCTAGAAACAGACAATTTTCTATCCATAAAAAGAATGAATTGTTGAGAAGAAAGACTTCTCAGGTAGTATGTTATTATACTGCATTAATGAAGTCAGAAATTATACATTCCAAAGTTAATGGATTCCCAGGAACTGGTAGATGATCTGCCATTTTCAAAACCACATGATATATGATGTTTTATGGGATACACACAAGAAGAAAATATTTAAATTTTGTAATACTCTTTTTTTCACAGCCTGTTGCAGCTATGTTCCTAAAGGGGAAAAATCGTACAAAATGATAAAACATTTCTGAGAATTGATAACTAACCTTCAATATCAATAGTCTAGCACGAATTCTACAGAATAACAGAACAGAATTCTACAATACGAAATAAGTATTTGAGATTTGAGGTATTTACACAATTAAATTTTTGTATATTCTCCATTCTATAATCAGTGCTCCAACTAATCTTATACAGTAATTGAAGAATTGAACATTCCCAATCATTATTTATATCCTTTCCTTCTTCCTCCTTTCTAACACACATCACCTGAGATTCTTAATCCTCCCCCTCTTCATCTTACATTATGTAGTAACTAAAGAAGTGCCTTTTATTCAGCTAACGAAATCATCTTCCCACCAAACATTTAATGCTGAATCATAAAATAAAAGGTATGAGGATACATTTACACAACCTTTATTTCTACTCAACAGTTTATGTGCTTATTTGATCATATATAGTTATGGGTAAAATTCTGACCTTAACAGTCATTGCATTAGAATTTGAGAATCGTCTTTAGTACAAAGACTGAAGAGTCACAGACATTTAAAATTATTTTGTAATTGCTACTTTTCCGTCTGTTGTACATTTATCTCTCTAAATGACATTATTAAATATATCTGAAATAAATTGCCTTCTTGATGAACTGCAGACATCTTCTCTGGAAAATTGTTTAAACCAGCATCAGTTGCAGCACAAGCTATTCTGTACTTGGAGAACATGTTTGAAAGCCATGAATGAAAATGGCTTTTCTCCAGGATTCAGGAGCCTTCTTTCTCCCTAAACATGCAGTGAATGTCAGGAATTCATCCACTCATGTCAGACGACGTTCACTCCAGAGAATGGGAAACAACACCCAGATCCTCAGAAGTATTCAGCTCTTAAACTTTTGCAGTTGGACTAGAAGATCCTTGTAGGTCCCTTCCAACCGAACTATTCTATTCTACTCTACTCTAATTCTAACTTTCTAAATAGAATTTGCCAGCACTTTCAATTACCCTTGGACCAGGCCTCAAGGGACAACTGCACCAAACTCTAGCACTGCAACTCTCACTTCTGAAATATTAATGCATAAATCTAGCATTTTTATATACAAATATAATTGCAGCATTATAAGTAGATTGAAATTATTTTTCTGTTAAAGTTATTATTTATAATAATTACAATTGTAAATAAAAAAATCAGCTATTGCTCTATCTTTCCTCCTTGTAGACTTCCTCACTGATGCTTTTACCAGAATGTATTTACTATATGTTAACAGATACAGATGTATTTAATATCCTGTGGCAGATTTCTGTCCTTCGAACTTTCCATAATTACCTACTGTTGAACAGCTGAATTTTTTTAAGTTCGTACATTTTCATTGTCCCAGAAAGCAAACATGTATGAACGTATATGCATGCATTTGTTTGTAATGGATGTAAATTAGTTACTAAAAAAGATACTGAACTTGTATTAGTAGGTATAATAAGCTTCAATAAAACATTTTAATAACAAATACTTCTCTCAGAAGAATACTGGAAACATATTTTCACTTGTATTCAAAATGCAATCCTTTTGTGCATACATGAACATTGTAGATTGAGGTACTTCATAACTGTGGCCAGGAAATTTACAGGAAAACTTGATGCAGTCTTTTAGGCACAAATATGACAAAGTTATTCATGTTTGCAGAAGCCTAAATGTGTTTTTCACTAGAGATAAGTTCATGGAGTGATAGCTGTATTTCTTTGTCTTCTCTTTCTCTGACTCAGTATTACCACATGATCAAGGTCTTTATGAAAAGAACAAAAGTCGTGTAACTGCAGGATACAGGCTGTGTGCAGGGATACCTCCAGCTGGTTTTACATGGAGGCCCAGAGAAAAACAGGGCTTTAGAAGATTCCAAGGAGGTTAGTAGTGAATGTCTGGCATCCTCTGTTACACCGAGGTAAACTTTATAAACATACAAGGAAATATTTTTAGGCAAAAACTGTGTAGGAGTTCCTCAGCTTTCAACAAGCATCATGAATGCACTGAGATACAGGCCCCTCCCATGAATCACATCCTTCGCTACTTGCTTATTGGTGTCGCTGTGATTTCTGGTTAGTAGCTACAGCGCAGGTGTACATAGCTCCCTTTCTTCTTAGAATCTGCTCACAATTGGCATGGTTTTTTTCCCCCATGACATTAAACATGTTTAGCATAGTCTATGCACTTGATTAATAAAAGTCAGATTTTGGCAGATACATTTTTCCCAGGGTAGAAGAGGAGAGCAAAACTAGGATTCAGAGTCCACTGAACTCTGCTAAAAGATCCAACAGTGACCTGGGAAAATCAGTGAAGCTTCTGTGCCTCAGTATTCACTATTTCCATCCAGCTGTCTTGCATGAATGTTGTGAGACTCATTTATTGTTCTGAATAATGCCTATGTAATTCAGGTAAATGATTTCAATGAGTATGAAGTATCGTTACTGACACTAACTTCCTATCCTTTTTACAAGACATATTCCAGCTGTGTGTCACCCTTCCATACTTACATTTGAGTTCTTCTGAAGACACTGCATATGAATTCCTCCTGCAATTAATGATGCAGCCACAGGGCAGGTGGATCCAGTGTTTTGAGAGGACAAATACTGGGGTGACTGTGGCAGCCAGCAAAAGCCGCAGGAAGCTAAAGCTGGACAACCATTTGTATCTGAAAGGCAGAGCATTTTGAAATTTAAATAGCTTCAGGCACATGAGATACTTCCAGGAATAAACAGAACATCTCACTACAAATATGACACAAGTAAAAGACACAGGTTGTCATTAATGTTTGCTGAGCCTAACAATTTTGTTTCTAACAGAGTGGAGAAAACACACTGACAGAGGCTCTCCTCTTCATTCTGCATTTCTCAGAAAAACCCTTGCTTAAGCTAAATATAGATGCCTGAGCACTACTAAAACAAGCAACTCGCAATGCAAACAACTTAGAAGAGGCTGCTACAGTCTCTCCTGCATGGTACAGAGGAACCCGAACTCCTGACGGGGAACAGGAGAGAGAACTTAGCAGTACACAGGGCTGTGCTGCAGATGCTCTGTAACATTCTGTTTCCACTGAGAGAACCTCAGGTGCTGAGTCTATACACATCCCGGGGACAGGGATAACACTGCCCAGACCCACGTTCCATGTTCTCAACAGACTCCTTTCTAATTATACATGAATGTACCTGTTCCCAAATATACTAGTGCATGCACATGGTCAGCCCTTCCACCCTCCCTCCCCTCTCCCCTCACCAATGCTACAGAGATTAAAAGATGCAAGCAAACCTCGTTTTTCTAACAAACTCCTGTTTGTTAACCAGTCTGGCAAAGGACGTGACTCACAGCTGTGAGGAGGGGCAGAAGAGCTAGCTTAGTACAATTCACAGACCCTGTAATGCTGAGCAAATGCTTGTCAGACAGCTGGCAATACAGAAGGGTGAACCTTATTCATCCCTGTATTCAGGTGATACAAATGATGTGATGATAAAGAAACATACTGATGAATCAGGCTCTGCCAAACCTGCTGAAAGACAGTTAAATTCATGTAGTGACACAGACCTGCTTAAAAGGACTTTTGTCAGCACAAACTGTACTATAAGGAGCAATTGCAATGGCTACTGTTCATCTGTTTGAATTCATGGCACACCAACTCACATGCCATTTAAATGTAAGTAAACATTAGAAAGTAAAGCAATCTGACGATTTACCATCATTGGAAGCCAGAGAATGACTTTTGTCAATGCAAGAATCAGTGAGAATCGTTTCTGGGCAAAGCCCACTGTGAAGCTCCTGCTCTGTATGCTGTTCATGCAACGGGGCTCGAGTGCACTGCTCTCAGCCACATCTTTCCTAAAGACTGCCTCCGAGCTTGGACATGCGTTTTGGAAATGCTTCAGGGTCTTATCCACAGGGTCCACTGGTGACAGAGATGGGGTAGCAGTACTGCAGCCTGCAGGTGTCCCGGGGGTGATGTAGCCTCGAGAGATTTCCTGGTAATCAATGTGTAGTAGCTGTTGCTCATCTGAGCACAACAGCTGGTAAGTGAGAGGAACAGACAGCACTGTGAGGAGGCAAAAGCACAGCGAGTAGACAATAAATAAAAACAAAATGTAGGAACTGGCACAGTCAGTGAAGCAACCCCAGGAGGTGGGGATGTACTTGCCCCAACCACAAAGAGGCAAAATGCAGATCAGCAAACTGACAATCCAAATGGTAAGAACGGCCCATACCATGCTCACTTGTCGCTTGGAAGCGCTGCAGCTCATTGTCTCAGTTTTGTTGATGGTGTAGAAGTTGTAAGAAACTATGAGAGACCCTTTCAGGTTGCTAGAAATGCCCTGGAATAAATATAAAAGTGCTGAGGTGGTGCACAGAGGCTGGGGGAGGACATCACTTGACCACTGAGTGAGCATGAAAATAATCACTGGCACAATGCTGATCAAATCATCTATTGACAAAGAGGTCACAATCATTGAAACTGTGGTTTTGTTTTGCATTTTCAGCAGGGAAACTAGTGAATAAATGCTGCCCAAAAGTGCTGTGAATGCAATGATAGAAGTCAAGCAGAACAGAAAGACATTCAAAGTTCTCTGCTCGCTAGGCTTATCCATAATGCTATGATTTTCAGTGAAGAAGCTTGTCCCATTGAGTGACAAATTACTAGGCGTTACCGACATTGTCCTTGGCAATTTTTTTTCTTCACCTTGTCACTGACTCTGCAAGTTTTCAATAGCCGAAACCAGAACTGTTAGCTCCACATCACAAGTTTCTTTGTTTTCCTAGACTCTCTTTTGTGGCATCTGATGAAGGAATATTCAGGTGGAAGCATTCTTGATAACCAGAACAAAAATCAGGCAACAACAAAGTATCAAAGGTGCTCAAAAAAATGCAATTCTTCATAATCCTTTCAGTACTGGAAGATGGTTAATTTAGGCTCTTCAGATAATAACATGCCATTCACTTTTGACAGATATCAGGCAATATGCCTTACTCACGAGTTCAGTTGAAACGAAGGCAGAATATCAGGTATGTTCAAGCTCTAGTAGCTCAGGGAGAAACATAGTAGAAATGAGAGGCTGTTGGATTCACCCTGCGCTGTTCTGAGCTGCAGGAGGGAGGAGTCAGATGCAAGCAGGATAGCAGAGCCGAGGCGAGTGAGTATCTTCTCAGACGGAGCTGCCTCTTAGCTGGATCAGAGGACTGAAACAGTGTCCCTGCTAAGCCACACCTCCGATGCTGACACTGAAATCCAATGCAAATACTCAGATCTGATGTCAGCCGTAAATGTCATTCCCGTAAAGCCCATGGCTGCTCCAGAGCTGTGCATCACGAGCTAGAGTGCTGCTTTTATTCTTTTGCGCTTCTGTACTCCAAAGCTTAGCAAGGGGAAAAGCCGCAGGAGGTTTTTATCAAGATGAAACAGAAGGGGTGTGTCTGCTCTGCCTTTCTGTATTCCTACTCCCACTGCAAGTGTGCGCGTACGTGCACACACTGCACATGGATGCCAACCGTATAGCTACTTAGTGACAACCTTTCATTAGTGACAGGCAACTGCCACGCATGTTAGCCAGGTCTTGCCTGCCTATGCGGTATCGCAACTCACTTTGGGGTTTATAAAACTTTCATTCCCCGCATGATTCAAATCTGAGCTGCATCAAATGCTGACTGCCTGCTCTAGCTGAGCACACACTGCATTTCGGCACGTTATGAATGTTTTCTCTTGAGAAAGTGCAATACTGGTGAAACTTATAAGCTGACAACATTTCCAACACTCAGATACGAATTGGACAGACAGGTTCAATGCAATCTTCTTGGAGGACTCTGCCTCTTTTTTCTTTTTGGCACCACTTCGCATTGAAATACGCAATGGGGATGCAGGACAAATAGTTTCTGATTAAGGGTAATATTGCAAGGCTGCTGCAATTACTTGCTAGTTTGGGTGACATTGCAAATCCACTCAGGTAGAAACCTGTGTTATTAACAACCTGATCCTTGCTCAATTCTACCCACTTTGAAATGCATTAGCTCTGTCAAGCCAACAGCTGGATTGCTTGGGTGTTTTCCTTCCCACCAGGGCAGAGCAGGGTTGGAGGCAGCGATTCTCACAGGTGTGGGAGCTCCAAACGGGACAAGCAGTGGAAGAGAACACACGTCCGCAACTGTATCGTGTGACAAGAGTCCACAATACAAGGATCAGAGCTAAGTGCAATGACAACTTATCTGAATAACCCCTCCTTCGTTTCCGATTTCCAAGCTGCCCTGCCATGGCACTGGGAAGGCTTACGTCCCAGAACAGACTAGGTCTTCCAGTCAACCCCATGTGCCCCTTAGAGGCAGAGAACTGTCCTCATTGCAGGACCTGTCGTAAAGCCACGCTCCTCCTGCACAGCCTGACTGGGAGCCTTTGCCTCTCCATTCTCCCATTCACATTGCAGCTGCCTCTGTTTTGAGGATTCTGAATTATTTATCAGGAACAACTGTCAACCCTCACATCAGAAATTTGCAAAAGAGAGGAGCATCCATCCTGCCTTCCATACAAGGCACAGTCCTGGATCTGGACCATCCATCTGGCCTTTAACTGTACAGGATTTGACTTGGCTTTTGTGATTTATCTGTCCTGCTGGACTACTGATTGTTAATCTGTGCTGTGCCAGCTAAAGGCCAGGGCTCATTTCCTTCTATTTACAAATCACAGTCACCTCTGCCCCGCAAGTCAACTTTAAATTAAGAACAGTGTTCTAAATCTGAAGATTAACTGTGTGAGCCTGGTCAGAAGTACAGTCTAGAGATAAGAAGAGAGAAAGAAGCATCATTCACCCTTGTTTGGACCGTTATTCTTTAGCCTGGCTTCCTCAGGACACAAAACCACACTGCCCGAGTGTGCATAGATGGGTGCGCATGTCTCTCTCTTCCACTCCCCATCCCTCAATTCCTTTTGAAAAAATGATCATTTTCATCTCAGTCTGGTGGTGTCAAAGCTACTGAGTTCCCACAAGTTTTATGAAAATGAGCAGCTGATCAGAGGAAACGGATTGCATCAGGGTCCCTAGACAAGAGACAGGCTGCAGCAGAGTTCCCTCTGCACTGGAAACTAGTGAACATGAAGCAGAGGCTTTATAAAAACTCCAAACATAAAGAAAGCTTCAGCTGAAATTTCAATTAACTTGGATGCTAAACTGCAGGAAACCAGCTTCATTCACTCTGGCATGTCCTAGTGCTTCCTGATATGTGATCAGTTGCCTTCATTCTTAAATTCCCTGTTTCCATTGCCTGTGTCATCTTCATTTGCTCTTGCCACATTACGGGTGGGTGTTTAGAAGCAATTTTAATGATGCTTGGGAAGTTTATTTCCCTACTTTAGAAATTTTTTTCTCCTGTATCCTGAGTCATTATACTTACACTGGATGTCCAATAACCCTGATGGCAGATATCAACCACAAATTTTCTGAAAGTTCCCTCAGAACAATCCTCTTCACATGCTTTACTGACCTTGTTTCATCGGCTGTGCATATACAGCCTCTACGCCCCTCTGTAGGTTTTTGGACACTTCGGTAAGAGCAGTCCATTCTGTGCCTTCCCTTTGTATTTGGAATGAAATGCTCATCAGTGGTTTTAAGAAGAAAGTAATTTTTATTTATTGCCATACCCATTCAAGGCAGATGACATATTTACTCGCTTCAGTTTGTCTTCCCACAGAATGTGTTTTATTGTATGAACTGCACCTTGCCATTCTCTGTGGCAGCTTTTACCAGAACTTATAATATGGTGAAATGTTCTTTCCTCTGCTCATTTCGTAGTTATAAACAGAAGGTCTTAGGAGCAATGAATTCAAGCAGCTTCCCCTCTTATTTATCCTTAACATGACTGATAAATTCTGATAAAACATGTACAGAAAGATCAGTTTAATCTTAAAACTAAAGAGAGAATTCGGTTGTAGTAAGAGACAGCAACTATATAAAGAGAAGCATGATTTTCCACACAGCTGTGCCTCCAGGTCGTTGACTTGCAATGCCCAGTAAGGTCTAAGCTCTGAAACTTTTCTTGTGGCTGGGGCAAATAAATCTGAACTAGATTCTCTGATCTCTTTTAAAGGATAGTTTATATCGCAATCTTTCAAAACTTACAGGAACACTATCTTTGCAGTTTTAATTTCACTCCCAAATCTGCCTGAAATTTATGAATGGACTCAACTAGGGCTGGGGGTGGCAAGGACAGGTAAGTGAGCAGAGAGGTAGACAGTGTCATCACAACCCCCCTTCTCCCAAATTTTCTAAAGAAACAGTGCTAGAATGGAATAATACAGCACTGCCAAAAACCCATGGGTAATGAGCTTGCAGAAACCAAGAGAAAGAAAAAGACACCTTTATCTGCAGCTGTGTCCTTGGTTTGGACTGTGTCAAGGCAAGCATCAATTTGTAGATTAAGATCCTTACTACCTATTCCCTTTCTTCTCTGCATTGAGCCTCCTGAATTATGGGAGGTTCCTAATACAAATACTGTCCCTTCCAATATAGGTATATATTCTTTATCCTGGCATGAATTCTCTTTGCTAAGGAATGATCACAAAGAGAAAATACATTAGACATGGAAATCTCTCTGGCTTCATTTCAAACAGCACTGCACAACAACATCTCTTTAAAAGAAGAGTCAGCCCTACTTGATAGTCTATGAAAGAATTTCTGAGAGACACATTGCATGTAACAATTCAGAAATGCTTGTAAAGAGAATCAAATATTCACCATTCATAAAATGCAATCAACAAACAGGGTATTAAAAATTTATCCTATTTAGCATATGAGTCACATTTTATTTTCATACCTTGCACTAAGCTTTGACTTATGGTTTTGCTTCCTTTTGTCACTCAAGAGAGACAAGATTATTACAGCAGCTGTACAAATATTTCATTTCAGAAGGTGATATAACCTCCATGCCAGGCGTAAATGTATATATATAAAATTCCATAAATGTCTTTGTAATTTATTCCTCAATAGCATGTGAAATAAAAGGTTTTCTTTTTTCCTAGAATTATTTTAACAGACTTTTAAAAAGATGTCAAACTAAATGATCATTTTTGGTCTATTGGATTTAGAAATCACTCTCAGATACAAGATGGTTGAACTGAGGCTAATTATTTCATCTAGTTATTTGCCCCGGATGAATTAAATCAATGGTGGCTTCTAATAAAAGGCAGATACTCTTATACTTAACCTACTTCCACTGCAGCTGTATTGCTGTGCTGTAGGAAAAGGGTGCTTACTGATTAGGAGCAATTAGAGCAATGTAAATCAGGAGTAATTCCATCAAACCTAAAAGTATGATTTAACTTATGTGCTCATTATGGGTGGGACTGCACCAGCTCTAATTCAAGCGAAACACAACCTTGTTGTGCAGATGCTCCTTTTGAAACCAACAGGTTATCGTTATCGCAGTAGCACATCACAGCCTGTCCCTCCATGAGGTAGTGTCTCTCTGATCGGATGGGCCAGTATCAAGCAGTGCCCATTGTCAGAGCTCCCTAACTTTAGTTTTTGCTGCCGTGCTGTAAACATAGACAGTAGACTGAGACTGCAATGAACTGAACGTTTTTGGAGAATTACAGAATTTGTAAGAGACAAACGGAGCTAAGAGTAAGCCCCGAAGTGTCACTGAGGTACAATCATGGTCTGAATCTTTCCCCAAGACT